CAGTGGTGGTTGGGACCCAGTGCCCATTCAGCATTGGGGGATGCCCAGGGACAGCTGCCCGTCTCTCCAGGGAAGCTGGTCACCTACCTGCTTTCTGCCCGAGACTGGGATTCATGAGGAATAGAGGCTGGGGGGCTCCAGGCCACCCAAGCTCCCAGCCTTGGGTGCTGTCCTCTCCTTGAGCTTAAATGGGGATCTAGCTACAGGGTGAGGGGCCACAGGGAGACACCTGCCTGCCCAGCCTTAAGTGGGTGGCTGGGAGGAGGCTCTAAACTATCGGGGACCTCCGGTTTCTTTTCATTTTCTCTTGAGGTGGTGCTGGGGATTGAACCCAGGACTGTCTCACTCTTTGTAGTTTTTATTTTGAAACAGGGTCCCCTTAAGTCATCAGGCTATCCAAGCTGCTTTCTTTTCTTTTGTGACAGAGTCTCACTGTGCAATTCAGGCTAGACTTGAACTCATTTTGTAGCCCAGGCTGGTCCTGAACTCACAATGATCCTCCTGCCTCAGCCTCCTGAATGTTGAGAGTACAGGAGGGCACCACCACACCTGGTTCAAACTGCTTTTTGAGATCCTCCTGCCTCAGCCACTCTGGATGCTGGGATTACAGGGGTGTATCCCACATCCAGCTCAGGATCTCAGATTTCTGCACAAACCAGTAGTTAGCCCCTATCTGCTGTGTCATGGTCAAGGCACCCAAGGCTCTTGGAGTCCCTGACTTTCCCAAGTCACTGTTGGAAAGTGAAGAAGGCCGGGAGGAGTGAAAAGCTCTGAAAAGCAGCTGGAGGGGGAAGTGGACCCCAAGCAGGATGTGGAGTGGGAAAGGTGGGAAAGGCGGCAAAGGGGAATTGGGCAAGAGTGGGCAAGAAATGCAGGCTGAACTGGGCATAGAGGTGCACACCTGTCATCCCAGCACTTGGGAGGCTGAGACAGGAGGATTGCTGCAAGTTCAAGGCCAGCCTGGGTTACATAAAGAGACCCTTTCTCAAAAAACAAACAAACAAACAGGAGCAAGAAATGTAGCATAAGTCTACAAGTTTGCAGCATAAGAAGCCGAGGCTGGAGGGAAGGTGGGAGGAAAGGGCTTCCAGACAGGCTGCTGGCCTTGCCTGTGTGGCAGGTGGGGCAGGCGTGCTGAGGGTCTGCACGGGGCTGCCTTCGAGGAGGCAGATGGCCAGGCAGGAGGACGGGTGGGGCTCCAGGATGACTCTGCGAGCCAGAGCTGGGGAGGCCAGACCAGCTGCTGGGCCTGCAGCCCTGCTGTACCCACTGCCGGCTCTCCCACCCCTGTGAAGCCTCCCTTGCTCAGCCCCAGGGACACATGGCCCTCTCACTGTGGGCCTTGTGCCCGCTGTGGCTTCTTCGTTCTGACCTAATTTTAATCATTTGATAGGATCCCCCCAAACCCAAGCCCCGGCCCCCGGGCCCGTCAGCTCTGCCACGTGTCAAAACCACCCCTGTCACTTCGTGTTGGTTTCTCGGTCCTGCAGCCCCTCCCCTCGGGGCCCGAGAGCAGCAGCTAATTACCCAGCTGCTGAGCGCCCCCCGCCCCTGCACCCGCACCTCCAGTCCCACCCAGGGGCCCTGGAGGCTTTGAGGAGAAGCTGTGGCCTCCACACCCTCCTCAGCCGGGTGGAAGTCCTTCCTGCAGTCTCACGCCCTTCCTCTGTCCCTCCACCACGATGCCGCTGGCCGAAACTAGGAGAGACATGGGGGGTTGCCTTGAGAGACAGCAAGGGGCCAGCAGCACCTTACCAGAGTTAGGGGTGTTGCTGCCACCCGGGATGTCCCACAGAACTCGCTGGCTCATTGTACAGAGCAGAAAACTGGACCGGGGTAGAAAGGGCCTGGCCTTGGGTCCTCCGGGATGGGCATGGGGCCAGGATCTGAGCTCTGAGTCCAGGCTCCTCCATCCCAGTCCATCTTGGATTCAGAGCGGGCCCCCACCCAGGTCCCCAGGCCCCCTCAGGAACCCGAATCCTCTCTGCCTGCCATGTGCACCTGTTGTCTCCTCCCTGGCCAGGCCAGTGTCAGCGGCGCTAACCCGAAGGACAGTCCAAGGACCCGGGGCTAGGGCCAAGTGGTCCAGAGCAGACTCGCAGGCTGAGACCCAGGCCTGGGCAGACAGACAGACACATGGGACAGCCACACCAAGCACTGACAGACACATCAGACGCTGACAGTGACGTGGAAACACAGAGACAGTCACAAACACAATGGCAGCTCAGAGATAAACGCTGGAGACCAAGAGGCTGGTGCAGAACCTGCCCCCGGGACCTGTGCAGTATCTGCAGCTCCCCAGATGGAGGTGCACAGAGCCCTGGGAGCCCTGGAGAGCAATGAACCCCGATCAGTTCGGCTTGCAGGAAGCAGAGAGGGTCTTGGGCAGAGCCAGGGGCTGCCAGGGGCTGTGCAGGGCTTGCTTGCTGCCCTGGGGCCGGAGGCCCTGGATTACAGGAGCCCTGGCCAGCAGCGCCTCCCTGTGCCAGGAAGCCAGGCCAGGGGCAGGGCGGGAACAGAGGACCTGGCAGTGGGGGTGAAGCCTGCAGTGCTGTCTCCCGCCAGCGCCCTTCCCTGGCTCCCGGGCCCAAAGCCCTGGGAACCCTTCCCACCCTCACCACCTCCCCCCACCCCATCCAGTAGCCAAACCCTGCTTCCTGCCTGAGATTAAGGCCAGTGGGGTGGGGTGGGGATGCCTCTCCCCAGGCCTCCCTGAAGCTTGCCCCTTTGCCGTGTACCCGAAATCTTGATGTCTCTTGGAAGCATTAAAGGGGAGCTGCAGGCTGAGCACTCCCTCCTTGGGGGATGTGCCGTGTGAAGTGGTACATGATGGCACGTGGGTCTCGTGTGAAAAGCTGCTGAGAGAGATATTTATTTATTTTTGCCTTTTTTGAGACAAGGTTTCACTATGCAGTTCAGGCTCGACTCAGACTCACAGCAATCCTCCTGCCTCAGCCTCCCAGAGCATGACAACTGTGCATCACCATACCCCACCTGATGAGAGATTAAGCAAGACGGGAGAGATCTTCAGAGTTAGGGGTGCTGTGGAGAGTGGAGAGGAGGACCAAGCTGTGGTCTGGAGCCCAAGAGTAAGTGCCCTCCAGCTGGGAGTGCCGGAGGGGTGATGGGTGGCCCAGCATGGGAGTGACAGCCTGAGCCCTTGGCCTTGTCCACACTGACCAGCCACCTGGCGCTGGGTGCCAGGGACTCGGAACTCTTGCAGCTGTCATGGTGGGGGGTGACCTACAGGTGCCGGTTTCTCCCTTCCCCCACTCTGGCTGCTAATCCGATGGTTCCGGCCATGCTATCCAAAGGACAGGCAGTCTGGGCCAGGGAGGATCAGTCGGAATGGGTGGATGGATGGACTCCGATGCCCCACGAGCCCTGGCGGCTAGATTTGGGGACCAGGGGACCAAACTTCTGTAGGGCAGCTCTGAGAATGTGTGTGCGAGACCGTGTGTGCCCTGGCAGGTGTGTGCCCGTGAGAACTCTGGCTCCTGGGTGTCACGTCACTAGCAAAAGCTCATTTGAGGGGCAATCTTCATTTATTTGTGGCCACCAGTCCCAGGGAGCTGGTTTGTCTCTGGTTCCATTAAGCTGTAGAGGCTGGAGGCCAGCCTGTCCCTTTCTGAGACCAGAGTCTTGGGGACACTCAGGCTCATCTGAGGCCCACGGCTCTTCGTGAATCTGAGGGACCCTTTGTGGATCAGCCCTGGAGGCCAAGGGCAGAAGAGGCAGGGTGAAGAGGCAGGAACTTCGAGGGGAGGAGAGAGGGACAATTCTCCAGCTGCCTGGGTCAGTGAGTCTGGGCCACTGCTCTCTTAGCTCTTTTGCTGACAGAAGCCAGGGAGTTCCAGCTGCTCCAAAGGCCCAGGGACCCTAGAACTCCCTGCAGGCCTCCCTGCCGTCCGAGTCCCAGAAGTCCACATGCTCATGGCTTAGGCCTGGGCTAGGCTCAGACAGTCTGCAGTGCGCGTGACCTCAGGTGCCCTGTTATTCTGAGTCTCGATGGGAAGCAACTGGAAAGGGAGCCTTGGGCACTCACAGGGGACAGAGGGTGAGGTTTTCTGAACCTGCACCGAGGGACCACTGGGCACCGTGCCCTGTGAGGATTCCTCTCCTGTACGTGGGAGGGGCCTGGCCCAGGAGTCTTCCAGCCCTGGCTCAGTGGCAAGCGGAAGGTGTCACTGTGCTGTCATGTCTGCCATCCAGCCTGCCTGTAAAATCTGTGTGATCGGGGGCCATCTCTGTCACCCTGGGCACCTGCTCCACCAGGGCCACCCGGTAGGGGCTGTGCATGCCGCCGTTGCCACCACCACCGGGAAGCCAGGGGATCCCAGGGGACCTCGCCCCTCTTCTCCCACCTCTCCAGCCTGGGAGTCTGGGAAGGAGGGTGAAGTGGCAGCAGGAAGAGGAGGTGTCACTGCCAGGGTTCTTCTCACCCAAGCTGGCAGAGGGGCGGGACTGGCAGTGGTGACACCAGGGCCACTCAGCCCCCGCTTTTCACAAGCACTTTCTTTTTTGGGTTGAGGAAATTGGAGGGAGGAGGGAGTGTGAGATCTGGGGCTGCTGAGCCTGACTGTGCGACCCTCTAATAGCCGGCCATCAGGCAGCAGAGAGACCACTTCAGCCCCCAGTCCTCCAGAGAGAAGTCCCCAGAGCCTCCTGATGCTGAGACCCACTGTCCCTCCTCCAGGGCTCCAGGGCTCAGTCAGCCCAGGCAGAAGGAGGGGGCTGGAGCCCTTGACCTGGAGGTTGGTGGGGGGAGACTAGGAAGAATCACAGCTTTGGCCTTCCTCAGCCAAGCACTTAGCAAAAATGTCGCCTGAAAAAAAAAGATGGAAGCATTCAACAGTCTCAGGTCTCCAAGGGAGGTCAGTCATTCAGGTGAGTCTTGTGGAAATCTCTTAGGTTTCACCAAAAGACATCCAAGGGAACAAAATCACGTTCCTTCAAGCAAGGCTGCCCTCCTTCCCACAGCAGGGAGAAATTTGCAGGTTCCTCAGGGCCTGGGGAAATGGGTGGTAAAGGGTTGTGTAGGAGCCTAGAGCCTGTTTCTGGTGTTACTATGCATCTGGTCCCCACCCTAGGGGACGCACTGCCCCTCACTCACTCTCTGGGTCGCGCCCGCCTGCTGGGATCCCCTGCTTCAGCTGCCTCTTGTTCAGCTCTAGTTGGGAGCAGAATGTCCCCGTGGGCCCCTATGGGTGAAGCCCTGTTGGGCTAGGAAGAAATGAAGAGATGGGACAGCCCCCAGGGGAGGACCAGAGAGGGCAGATGGGAGAGAGGAGAAGACACCCTGTAACACGGCGAAACTGTCAAAAAGTCTTTCAGAAACACTCTTTAACATGTAAACTTTATACAGGGACATGCAAAAGTCTCTGTGACACCTCACTGAGTGAGAAAAAGGAAAAAAAAATCATGAAATGATGTGTTTGTGTGCATGCAAAAGACAGAGACACAGTGGTGTGACATCTGGAAGTGAGTCCACCACAGTGTTGGTCCTGTCTTGCCTTCCAGGGGTAGTATTCCGGGTCATTTACAGAACTGTGCTTTTGCTTTTCTGTTCTGCTTGCTTAGAGTGTGTGTGCGCTTGTTTTTTTCCGTGTGTACCTGCATGTGTGTGAAGCCTAAGATTTCCATAAGACTCACCTTCTGATTTTTAAAATTTTGTTTTATCTTCACACACAGGAAAACTCCCAAAGGTGCTATTTTCATTCTGGGGGGAGGGGAAAGGATGCTCCTCATCACAAAAGCACGATTGCATCACTCAGCAGAGAAGGAAGATGGAGGCCCCTGTCCTCCCTGCCCGCCAGTTCCAGGTCTTTCTCGAAGCAGTCTTTCACCCGGCTGCTGTAAGCTAAGTGCCAAGTGTGGCACGCTAGCAACTAGGTGTAAGGCTCACGGCTCGCCTGAGAAGTAGATGCATTTGTCTCCCCAGTTCCCTCCAAAGCTCCATAGCTGACCCTCCAAGCCAGGGAAGCGAGTTGCTCTGGACATCTAGACCTGAGTCACCGGCAAAGCCAGGCCCAGAGTGCTGTCCATGCCTGCGGCAGCCCAATACCACATACAGGGCCTGAGTGCTCAGCCCTGTGCCAGAGCTGGCATGGTGGCTGCAGCTCGGCCCAGGCCAGGGCTCTACCACCCCAGCCTTGGGTGGGGGGTCCTGAGGACAGGCTGCTGCGATCCCCTTTAAGGAGCCTGCTGCCCACCCAGTTCTGGTCCACTCAAAGACTGAAAGTGCCAGATATTCAGACATGGCCCAGCGGGCCTCTGGCCTGGAAAAAAAGGGCCAAGCTCTGTGCAGCCACGCAGCACAAGGCTGGAGCACACAGTAGGCCCCAGTGAATATCCATGCCTGCTCGTGCTGCAGCAATGCCCAGCTGGTGCCATCTGGGCCGTCGTCACCCAAGGTTTCCTGTAGGACAGGGCCTTGGAGCTGAGCCCTCAGAGATGAGTGGGACTTCCCCAGGGTGCCAGGGACAGCGACGGGGCCGGGGCTTGAGGCGGCACGGCTGAGTTTCCCAGAAGGCATGCTCTTGGAGCACGAAGGACGCAGGGCACAGAGGCCCAGGGACCGCTTATCTCCACCGCGCGGCTTGGGGGGCGCACTCCTCGACGACCGCGGCGGCCCAGACTTCGCCGGGTATTGGCCAGGAGACAGCGGGCGGGGCGGGGCGAGGCCGTGGAGGCGGGTGGGGACCCGGAGAGCTTCATAAAGCGTCGGCGGAGGTCGGCGGGGCGCTAGTGACAGCGGCCCGCGGGAGAGGGAGCCCAGGAGCCGCGCGCCTGCCGGACGCGGACGCGGGCGCGGGAGCGAGGCGCCCCAGCCCAGGCCGGGGGCGGTGCCCCCTCAGGCCCCGCCCCGGCGCCCCCAAGTCCTCTCGCCCCCTCCTCCCGCGCGGAGAGGACCGGTCCCCGACGGCGGAGCGGAGCGAGGCAGGCGCCCAGCGCGCCCCGGATGGGCGTCGTGGGGCCGGGCTGCCGAGAGATGCTGACAGGCACCGAGCCGATGCCGACGGGCGACGAGGGCCGCGCTCCAGGCGACTCTCAGCCGCGCTACTTCTACCCGGACTCGGGCGCGCCCGACGCGGGGGACCGTCGCGGAGCCGGCGGCCTCGGGGCGCCCTACGCTGGGGGCGCCCTGGTGTCCGCGCCCCCAGGCCGCTTCCTCGGCGCTTACGCGTACCCGCCCCGGGCCCCGGCCGCCGGCTTCCCGGGGGCGCCCGAGCCCTTCCCGCCGCCCGCGGGCGCCGACGGCTTCCAGCCCCCTGCGGACGGCGCCTACGCGGCCCCCGACCCGCGCGCCGGGCTCTATCCCGGGCCGCGCGACGACTTCGCGCTGCCCGCCGGGCTCGAGGTGTCCGGGAAACTGCGAGTCGCGCTCAACAACCACCTGCTGTGGTCCAAGTTCAGCCAGCACCAGACGGAGATGATCATCACCAAGCAGGGCCGGTGAGTGCGGCCGGGGACCGGCTTCTCCGCTCCTCTTGCCTTTCTCTCCAGACCGCGCCGGTGGTTGCGGCCTTCGGCCTGGGCTCGAGCTCCGGCGGGATGGCGAGCGGGCTCGCAGCGAGGCCGGGGAGCCCTCCGGGGGGCTGCAGAGGCGGGGGCAGCCCGAGGGCTCCCGCAGGCTCGCGGGGAGCCAGGGCTAAGAAAGGCCGCGCTGGCGTGCGCCCCGTGCCCTTGTGGGGGTCCCGCGGCATCGGGAGCGCGCATTGGGGTCCGATGGGCTGGGCGCCTCTCAGGACCTTTGAGCCGCGGACTGGAGCGCTGGGGTGACACCCTGACCACCGAGGCCCACCGTACCTTCTGCGTCTCTGCTGCGCGCTGGTCTAGAGCAGAGTTGGTAGTGGTGCTGGGTGGCAGAAGGGGATTTGGTGACATCGAGGGGCAGTTGCCAAGTTGTCTTTCCGGTGTAAGTTTGAGATCATATGTCGTGTGTGTGTGTGTGTGTGTGTGTGTGTGTGTGTGTGTAGTGCGGGGGGGGGGGGACAAGGAAGGTTGTGGAGGACACGGATCCATTTACCCCAAATGGCCCAGGCCTAAGCAGGTGGCCCTCACCCAGGACCCGAAGTGGTGGCCAGCCTGCCAGGGCTCCCTTTGAAGCTGGTCCCTGCAAATGTGCGCACTCCTCTGCCCAGTTGGTCACTGACTCACCCTGGGGAAGTTGGAAGGGGGAGCCCGTGACTCTAGGGGTCCCCGATCCTGGGACATCAGCTGTAGCGTTCAGGGCTGGGGCTGCTGCTTCCGGATAGAGGCTTCTCAGTTAGGCAAGAAGGAGAAACAACCTGCGTGGTGTTTGTTTAGTGAGCAGCACCCCGAATGTGCCTCCACCCTTCCCAGGGGTTCCATGGAGGTAGGGGGCCAGCCGGGCACTCTGGATGCAGGGGTGATGTCCCTGGTGTTGAAGAGCACCAAGGGTGGGGCCAGGGACAGGTGCGGGGAGGCCTTGCCCAGAGGGCACTCATTGTGGGCCTTGCTGGTGCATTGTGGCTCCAGGCAACATCTGGGGGTTCATCCTGGAGAAGGCAGCTCAGCCCCCACCACTGAGGCCTTCTGTGCCAGCCCCACCCAGTCCCTCTCCGGTGTCCCCAGAGACAGGCTAGGTGTCTGGTCCCCGGATGTCCAAATTGGAAGGGACCCGGAAAGATCCTATCCATTCTCCCATTGCACAGACCAGGGAGGCCAAACTCCTGGGAGATTCCCCAGGCTCTGACTGACTCAGAGCCTGGGTTTCTTTCTGTCCCTGAAGCCGCCGGTGAAGACAGCCAACCACGCTGTCGTTGGCCTCAGTCATGGGCTCAGGTGCTTTCACTTCCATTATTTCACTGCACCAGGTACATGATCGTTCTCTCCATTGTAACACCAGGGAGGGACAGCTGGTGGCTTGCATCCCTCAGCAGAGGGCCAGTGTGAGCCCTGCCATGGCCCCAGCAGATGTCCCCACAGCATCACCAGGCCTCTGCCCCTTCCTAGATGGCAGGGTAGATGGGACACCAGCCAGGACTTTGGGTCTGGTCGGGGCTTGATTGGCACCTGTTGGTCCATTCAGGGGCTCCGGGGAGGCACTTCTGGGGCATGTATCATCCCGGCTTTTCATCGGAAGATTCTCACTGCCTCGCTTTTAGATCCATGGGCTTACCCTACCTTCTGGTGGAGCTAAGGATGAAACCTAGGGCCTCATGGACGCTAAATTTTTTATATGAAAAAAAATACATCGGGGAGCGGTGGCGTGCGCCTATAATCCCAGCACTGAGAGGCTGAGGCAGGAGGATTGTTGCAAAGTGAGTTACAAAGTGAGCTCAAGGCCAGCCTGAATTACATAGGGAGACCTTGTCTCAAAAAGACAAAGAAACTCAAAAGACAAAAAAGTCTCAACACATACAAGAGTGGACAGAACAGTTTACCAGGTTTTTGTCTTTGTTAGTACCGGTCCAGCTTTAGTCTTCTTCACTGCTTCTGTGACTGCACATGGATTAGTAATTTAGTGACTAACTGATAAATCTAGGTGTTGTTTCACCCTTAAATCTTTCTCCCTGCACCTGTGGAAATGAATCATAAAAAAATAAACACAGCGACCATCATCTTAGCCCTGCAGAAAGCTGAGGTGGGAGGATCTTGAATTCTAGGTCACCCTGGGTAAGGTAGCAGGATCTTGTCTCAAAAACAAGCAAAGGACAGCCTCTGCGGTCCTTAGCAAATTCAGAAATTCCTGAGCATCACCAAGTTCTCCTGTTTCACAAATGTGTGCCTGTGTCAGTGTGTTTTGTAACTTTTTTATTTTTTATTTTTATCGGTACCAGGCTTTGTAACTTTTGACTTCATTTTTATTTCTTTGGTCCTGGGGATCCGAATCAAGGCCTGTGCACTGAGCTACATCTGCAAGCCCTTTTATTAGTGTTTGTTTGTTTATTTGAGACAAGGTCTCCCTATGCAGTTCAGGCTGGCCTTGAACTCATGCTGATCCTCCTGCCTCACCCCCGCCACCCCCAGTGCTAGCACACATCTGGCCTTCTGTTTTATTTTGAGTCCCTAAATTGCCCAGAATGGACTTGAATTTGCAATCTTCCTGCCTCAGCCTCCCAGAGTGCTGGGATGACGGGTGTGGCTACCCATCAGGCCTTACACTTTAATCCCTTTTATGGGGCCATTTTTGGGTAACATGGGGTCCCAGTTGGAAGGGGCTCACAGATCCTCACCATTTCCTTTGGTATCGCCCTAGTCCGGCCTCAGGGGCTGCTGCTGGGGAGGGGGGAAGGGATAGAGTTCACCCCACCCCCAGCCAGCATGGCCCAGGTCTTCTTAGCTTGGGCTTCTGAGAGCTGGGAAGTCTGTGGCCATTTCCTCCCCACTCAGGCTTTGGGGCTCAGATAACGCTTCCTTTCTGTCCTCCATTTTGGCGGGCTGGCTGGTGCCTCCGTGGGTTCCAGTGACCTGGCAGTCACCACCACGTCACCCACGAACTTTTTCCTTTTTGAAAACTTCCTGCACCCCAGGCCCGGCCGCAACCCTGCAGCCCATGGCCTGGGCTGACTCACCCTGTCCTGGCCCCTCCTCCCCTGCCCACTCGGGCCACCCTGGGCCTGGACCAGCCGGTGGCCTTGGGCCTTGGGTGGGAACAGATGGGGAGCAGAGGAGGATTGGGGTGCAGAGAGGAGCCACCGCCTCAGCTCAAGTCAGGTCAGGGGGGGGGCTAGGCACAAAATGGTAGTGGGGACCCCAGGGAACCCCTGGGACCAAGTGTGTGTGAAGCCTGAGCCTCGAATCTGCACCAGGCAGAGAGCAGCCTTGCTGAGAGGAGGAGGAGCCGTGTGTGGGTGTGGATTAGTGGCTGGTAATCCCCGCTCTTCTGGTGTGATTGGCTGATTATTGTAATTAAGGTAACTTTGAGGAGCTCTGTGTTCAGCAGCTCAGTTTGCACTTGGATTCGTGGATGTGAAGTTGGGGGCTGGGAAAACAGGGGTTCTGGTCCCACAGCGCCCTGGCCAGCTCTGCCACCATCAGTATTTCATTTCCCCCGCCACATTCCCAATTCTGAGAACTGCTTCATGCCTTTAAAAAAGTTATTTTGGGCTTCAGGTTGCTTTCTTTCAGGGCTGATGCCCGTGCTTTCTTTTTCAGCAGGTGGGGAAGTATCAACAGCTTGCTTTCCTTCTTGCTCGCTCTTTCTTTCTTTCTTTCTTTCTTTTTTTCTTTCTTTCTTTCTCTTTCATTTTCTTTTTAAAAGATGGAATCTCAGCCTGGACTCCATAGTGAGTTCAAAGTCAGCCTGAACTATATGTAGTTCATAGCGAGACCGTATCCCAAAAAAACAATAAAAGAGGGCCAGGTGTAGCGGCACAAGTGCTCCCTGGCAAGTTTGAGTCCTGATACAAAAAAAAAAAAAAAAAATCGGGGGAGCAGGGAGATGAGATCTCTGTATGTTGCCCAGCAGGGTGGGAAATCCTGGGCACAAGTGATCCTCCTGCCTCAGCCTCCTTAGCATCTAGGACGGCAGGAGCCTCCCCCTGGGCCCCACTCAGCTTTGATTTTTTTTTTTTTTGTTTTTGGTGGCTGGTTTGCAAATGGCCACTTGATTTCTGTGAAGCAGGTCCAAAGTTGGTTGGAGGAGGAGAAAGACGCCTTGAAGGCCCACTTCCTGGCATTTTGCATTTTGGCAGACACAGAGCATCGGCAAGATGGCTTCTCCTCTCGTTGTTGTACTGTGGCGTGAACTCAGGGCCTTCAGACTACATCCCAGGATTTCTTTCTTTCTTTCTTTTTTAGTTTTTTTTTTTTTTTTTTTTTTTTGGTCTTTTTCCTTTTTATCGGTACCAGGGATCGAACTCAAGGCAGGCGCTTATGCCACTGAGCTAAATCCCCAGCCCCTCTTTTTTAGTTTTGTGATAAGGTCTTGCTAAGTTCTCCAGGCTAGGCACTTTAAAAGGTGGTACCAAATCAGGCATGGTGGTAAACACCTGTAATGATAGCACTCTGGGAGGCTGAGGCAGGAGGATTATAAATTTCACCCCAGTCTGTGTGATTTTTTTTTTTTTTTTTGGTCTTTCTTGAGGCAGGGTCTCATTATGCAGTTCAGGCTGGCCTTGAACTCATTTTGTAGCCGACGGTGGCCTCAAAATTGCAGTGATCCTCCTGCCTCAGGCTAACGAGTACTGGAATTATAGGCATGTGCCACCTCACCAAGCCTTGGCTCAAAATTTAAAAAATAAAAAGGGTGAAGGCCCTAGGTTTAATCCTCAGTACCACACACAAAAAAAGTAGTAAATAAAAATAAGTACCAGTTTATACCCCACCGATAGTCACAAGATGGCTAAGCATTCGGTGAACAAAACTATCTATCTCTTTGTTTAATTCACGCAGAAAAATGGGGACTAGCAGTCGGGCATATTGGTAAATATCTATGATCTCAGCACTCAGGAGGCTGATACAGGAGGAACACTGTGATCCGGCATACACGGTGAAATCCTGTCTGAAAAAAACAACAAAAAAAATTGTGGCTGGGCCAGGGCAGGAGCTGGTGACTCGGGGAGCAGTTATGGTGACCCCGTGAGCAGCTGGAGGTAGAAGCTCTTTTGGGGTCCACAGCAGTTGAAGCCTTGCTCTGTGGGGTGGGGTGGTCAGCAGTTTGGGGGACTCAGATCAGACCCATCTCCATTCTTCCCAGTCAATTACGTAAACCAGAAGCTGTTTTGGGATTCCAGCTGGTAGACTTCTAGGGTGAACCAGAGAACCCCTGTCATCTTCTTGTGTCTCCTCCATCTCATGCTATAGAAATAAAAGAAAGACAAGGACCGCACCCCGACTTTGCTCGTCTACCAAGGGGCTCTCACCAAACCTTTCTGAGCCTCAGTTTTGCCAAATATAAAATAAGAAATCACATCTCGTGTCTCAAAAGCCTGGCTTGATAAACTGGCTGGGCATGAGCAGAGGTTCAACCAGGGAGTTTCAGGGTGGGGGTGCAGCTCTGGGGTACAGCACTAGCCTAGCAGGCTCGAGGCCCTGGGGTCCATCCTTAGTGGTTAAAAAAAAGAATGTTCCCGTCCACTTCTTTTTTTTTTTTTGTCTTTTTCCTTTTTATTGGTACCAGGGATCAAACTCACGACTGCTTGCTTGCAAGGCAGGCACTTACGCCGCTGAGCTAAATCCCCAGCCCCCCTTCCATTTCTTTATTTGTTCCTACAAGTTTGGACAGGAACTGGTTACAAAATAGGAAACAGTGGCTTTACCACTGTCAGAGGTTGAGATGGTTTGAGAAACGGGTGAGAAATATTGTTTTTTGTGTTTTTGAAGCAGAGTCTCAGAGGCCCAGGCTGGCCTTGAACTCAGCTCAGATCTCACCCCTCAGCCTCCCAAGTGCTGGGTTGACTCCCAAGGCCCGGCTAAAAATGTTTAATTTCAAGACACAGTCTTTCCTGTTGAGTCACTTAGGTGCCCAAGCTGGGTTAGAACTTGGGATCTTCCTGCCTCAGCCTCCCAGAGTGCCGGGACTATACGTGTGCACTTGTGTATTTGGCTTGAGTTTTATATCTTTTGAGCTTCAAAACAGTCTGCAGAGGACAGGTGGACCAGAGTTAATTAATATGTGTATTTAGAACCTGGTGTGAGGGCTGAGGCAGGAGAATCACCGTGAGTTTGAGGCCAGCCTGGGCCACATAAGCAAGTTCAAGCCCAGCCTGGACACTATAGCAAGACCCTGTCTTAGAAATAAATAAACAAATAAATAACCATGTAGTTGTAGGTGAAGACACTGAGATCTGGCTTGGGAGTGCTTAGCCAAAGTTGTGGCACCAACATTTCTGTGTTCGGAAATCTCGCAGGAATCTCCCAGGCCCTCCAGGGGGACATTTCAAGATTGACAGGGGTGTGGTTTGGGGCCCTTCTGGGGACTGGCACCCATCAAAAAGTGTTTGGAGACCCTGGAACCTTTCCTCCCAGGATTGCTGACTCAGACACCCGGGCAGGGGGGAGGAGGAGGGGGTGAGGGAGGGAGGAGGGGGGAGGGATGAAAAGCACTTCCCACAAGGCTTTGCTTCTAACGCTCTGAGGACCCTGCTCTTCCTGCTGGGGTTTGAAGAGAAAGGCGGCCACGGGAGCTGGCCACGCTCTGGCACTGGTGGCTGCTTCCAGAGTGGCACGGTGTGGGGCGTGGCTGGAGGGAGGGCCTGGTCAGGTGTTGCAGGCAGGGCATTGTGGAGGTGAGGAGCAATGGCTGGGTTTGGCAAAGTCGGGGGAAGGGGGTTCCTGTAGCCATAGCGACCTGGCAGCCGGCCAGGGTGGCATGGATGGCGGAGATGGCTCCCAGCTGATGGCGGTCGTGATAGTGGAGTGGTGGTTTGGAGGGTGGAGATGACGGGGCAGAGACGGTGGAAGTGGTGGGGCTGGTGGAGGCGGAGGTGGCTTGTTCTCCAGTAAACCGTGGCCCAGTATGGGCTCTGCAGCGTGGCACCCTGGTTGCTGCCCCTGGGAACCAAGTCCCCAAGGCCACCTCCTGGAGGGGCAGATCTCCCTGTCCATGCAGTGACTTCCCCCACAGCCTGGACCTGGGCAGGCCACCGAGTTGGAGGTCACAGGGGGTGGGGGGAACTGGGGCTCCATCCGTGCAGGGCTGCGGTTCACCCTTGTCCACCTGAAAGCACACTATGTTTAGGGGCAGGGTGACACTGTAAGAGGCCAGCACACACAGTGCCCCCAGGGGCTGGGAACGTAGCTCAGGGGCACAGCAGCTGCCCAGCAAGTTCGAGGTCCTGGGTTCCATCCTCGGTAGCAGAAAACAGAAAGGGGGGGGGGGCAAAAACAAAACAAAAACCTAAACCAGGTTTGGTGTCGTGTGCCTATAATCCCACCACCCGGGAGGCTGAGGCAGGAGGGTCAATAAGAGTTTAAGGCCAGCCTGGGCTACAAAGACCTGACCTAAAAAAAAAAGTAAAGTTCGTACCGCATACGTTGTTCCTTATGCCTGCCTTTCCCACCTGGCCAGCTGGCTTCTTGGGCTTCTGCCCTTGGCTCTGGTGAGCAGCAGGAGGCCGGCTCGGGCTTGCCAGGTGGGCCTGGTGACCAGCCACTGCGCGGGGCAATAAGCCGGGGGTCCTCTCCTCACAGGCGGATGTTCCCATTCCTGTCTTTCACCGTGGCCGGGCTGGAGCCCACCAGCCACTACAGGATGTTCGTGGACGTGGTCCTGGTGGACCAGCACCACTGGCGGTACCAGAGCGGCAAGTGGGTGCAGTGCGGCAAGGCTGAGGGCAGCATGCCAGGTAGGGTACGAATGGAGCCCAGGAGTGCTGGACGCCCCCTGGTGGATCCCCAGGCCCACTCCGCTGCCCACCCTGCCCCTCCCCGCCGCTTCCCTTTGGCTTCCCTTTCTCTCCAGCTGGTCCCAGCATGCACCCCGGTGTCACGCCCACCCCTCAGGAGCGGGCTGGCAGGGGCCAACGCTGTTGCCGCCCATCCGCAGGGAACCGCCTCTACGTGCATCCAGACTCCCCCAACACCGGCGCCCACTGGATGCGGCAGGAAGTCTCCTTCGGGAAACTGAAGCTCACCAATAACAAGGGCGCCTCCAACAACGTGACCCAGGTCAGTGTTCCCGCCCTCCAAGGCGGCCATCCCCAGGAATCAGAGACCCCTCTGAGACCACAGGAAGGGTTGGAGGAGGGCCTTGTGACATTGTTAGGTCCATTATATATATATAATTTTGAGAAGAGTCTCGCTATGCAATTCAGGTCTTGAACTCACTTTATAGCCCAGGCTGCTCTCAAACTGGCAAAGATCCTCCCGCTTCAGCCTCCCACATGCAGCACTATGCCCAGTTTAAATGTCCTGGCTCTTATGCTGATAACTTCGGTCACAGTGGACTTCTAGGGATGGGAAAGGGGACCAGAGGGATCCCTTGGGCTGGGAGCAGGACCCGCCATGGTCTGTCGTCCCCCGCTCTGCAGATGATTGTGCTGCAGTCCCTACATAAGTACCAGCCCCGGCTGCACATCGTGGAGGTGAACGACGGGGAGCCCGAGGCCGCCTGTTCTGCATCCAACACGCACATCTTCACCTTCCAGGAGACGCAATTCATCGCCGTCACCGCCTACCAGAACGCGGAGGTGACCCAAGCCAGGGACCCAGGGGCAACCGTGGGCCAGGATCTCCCGTGGGAGGGATCTGGGGAGCTTCTGGACGCAGGGCCCAGGTGACCCTGTGTCCCCTCTCTCCAGATCACGCAGCTGAAAATTGATAACAACCCCTTTGCCAAAGGATTCCGGGAGAACTTCGAGTCGTGAGTGTCACTGGGTGCTTGTTCGAGGGTGCGCCAGGTGGAGGCTGGGGCCAGGAGGGAACCTGCAGCTCTGGGCTGGCTCCTGGGTGGCCAGTTCTGCTTGTGACCCCAGCTTTCTCACGTCCTGTTCTTTTTAGCATGTACACGTCTGTTGACACCAACGTCCCTTCTCCACCTGGACCCAACTGTCAACTCCTCGGGGGAGACCCCTACTCTCCTCTCCTCCCCAACCAGTACCCCGTTCCCGGCCGCTTCTACCCCGACCTGGCTGGCCAGGCCAAGGATGTGGTTTCGCAGCCCTACTGGCTGGGTGCTCCCCGGGACCACGGCTACGACTCGGACTTCCGAGGGGTTGGCGTGAAGCCTGCCTTCCTGCCCCCCGCGCCTGGGCCCACCATGCCCTACTACTGCGGCCAGGAGGTCCTGGCCCCCGGGGCCGGGTGGCCCGTGACCCCCCAGTACTCCCCCAAGATGGGCCCAGCCAGCTGGTTTCGCCCCATGCGGACTCTGCCCATGGAACCGGGACCTGGGGCACCCGAGGGCCGGGGGCCGGACCAGCAGGGCTCCCCGTCCCTGTGGACTGAGGTCACCGCTCTCCGGCCAGAGCCCGGTGGCTCAGGACTGGGTGAAGGAGACTCTAAGAGGAGACGGGTGTCCCCCTACCCTTCCAGCGGTGACAGCTCGTCCCCTGCAGGGGCCCCCTCTCCTTTTGAGAAGGAGGCCGAAGGCCAGTTTTATAACTATTTTCCCAATTGAGTGGAGGGTGCAGGGCCACGAATGGGACAGATCCAGTGCCATCAGATGAGAGGCTACCGTCTCACCTGGGAGACAGACCCCATGGAGAAGCCCCCTCCTTCTGTTGCCTTTCCTTTGGTGATTGGTTGGGGCCCAGGGAGGCCAAGAAGGATTCTGGGGTTCCTCGCTGCATCCTGGAGTATCTGTCCCCAGGTCCTTCCCCTGCCCGAACTGTAGCCCCATGCCCCATGGGGGACAAGAAATGATGCCAGGAGGCCTGGGACCTGGGGAGCTGGGGAGGGGCTGGGACCCGGCCACCAGCTCTCCTCCTCCGTGAGGTGATGCAAGTTCTGTTGTCATGTGTTAGTCTGAGCTGAAGGGAAGGACACATGGACTCTGGAACAGTCAGCCAGCCTGGGCCGGGGACTCAGCTCAATGGAACAGTGCCTACCTTGCAAACCTGAGGTTGTGAGTTCGAATCCCAGTGCCAGAAAAACCCAGAATCTGATAAAACAACCAGCCGGCCAGCCTCAGGGAGGGGCACGGGACTACAGGGAGCTGGCCGGGCCCCTACCTTGGGAGACAAGCCTGGATACAGAGGAAGCATCTGGGCCAGCCAGGGCTTGTTGGTTGTTCATGCGTGTTTCTTTCTCTGTATTTTTCTGAATGGGGGAGGCTATTTATTGTGCGGAGAGTGGTAGCTGGGGACCTTTCCTCTGTCCCCATCACTTTCTGGAAATAAACATCAAGCTGTCAAGTGTCTCAGTCCCTGTCGGTATGGGGGGCTGGGGGGGGGGTGGCTCTTACTGGGGGAGACAGACCCTTCTAGGAACCAGGAGTGGCTTCATTGCTCAGGCTTTAACTGACAGAGAGGCTGCCCATCCTGCCTCAGGGCTCATCGAGAAGGTTGAGGCCTCCTGTCAAGGCTTCTGGGACAGAGGTGACTCTCACCCTGCGTGTGCACCCTGAGCCAGGCCTGAGGACCAGGCCAGGGGACCCAGTTGGGGGTTGGCGGGCTTCTGTAGGGATCATTCTGTATGAATCCACTGCCCCCTGCCTTCGCTTCTAAGGTTGTCCAAGGATTAAAGGGCTAAATAGAAACAACTGTGTCGTTTATTTTTGTTGTTTTGAGACCAGTTCTCACTGTGTAGCCCGGGCTGGCCTTGAACTTGGAGCAACCCTCTTGCCTCAGCCTCCCGGGAACTGGGGTTACAGGTGTGCACTGCCACAGTCAGACAGAAAGGAAGGGGAGTCGTGGTCCAGCCTTATGCTGCCATCTTTTTCCAGAACTCAGGTTGTGTTCTGCAGATGCTGTTATCTGGCTCATGAAAGTTCATTATTTTATTTCTTCACAATTAAAAATCTTTTGGAGTACAATCTTTTATATGCTATACAATTCAAGAACTAAAATGACGTAATGATTACTAACATATTTCCCTATCCTACTGTCTTTCAGAAAAAGTACCTTGAAATTTGCATTTATTATTTTGTTTTTAATATATATAGATATAGATAGACAGACAGGTACTGGGAATTGAACTCAGGACCTCACACTTGACATGCAGACACTGTGCCACTGAGCTGTATCCCCTGTTCCTTGCATTTACTATATTTTTTTTCTTTTAAAATAATGTGATGAATCTGGTGTAGTGGTGCACATCCATCATCTCAGCACTTGGGAGGCTGAGGCAGAAGAATCAAGACCAGCCTGGAATATATAGTCCCTATCTCAAACTTCCTCCCTCAAAAAAAAAAAAAAAATACTGAATGTGATGGTGCTATAATTCCTGCACTGAGAAGGCTGAAACAAGAGGATCACACCAAGTTCAAGGCCAGCCTGAGCTCCATGGTGAGTTCAAGGTCAGCCTAGAATATATAGTGGGTGTAGCTCAGGAGGAAGGCCCTGGATTCAATTCTCCCATCCCCAAAAGAAAGACAGAAAAGAAAAAAAGAGCAGGTGAGCCATGTTTAGGAGAAAACTGAGGGCTCGTAGAATTATGGAAAGGATTTTAATTCCTTAGGCCCAGGGTTGTAACAATCATAGATTGAGAAGTTTCTCTTTTTTTGTACTGGGGATCAAACACCACCTTACAGGCACTTACACCGCTGAGCTAAGTCCCAGCAAGAAGTCTTTTTTTTTTTCTTTTTCTTTTTCTTTTTTCTTTTGGCCTTTCTTGCCAGGCAGCTGCTGTGCCACTGAGCTGCACATCCCTGGCCCTCATTTGGTTAGATTTCAGGGACTTAGTGAGATGTGTGGATCCTGCTCTCTTTCCTATTGTGGAAAGCATAACTCTTGGGGTTCTAGTGTAATTATTAATTCACACTAGTATACAATTTAAAGGATTTCAGTGTGATATTTCCCTGGTTTACTGTTTCTCTTATTTCCAACTTACTCATTTTGAACGTTTCAGTACTTTTTTTTCCCGGTGCTGGCGCTCGAACCTGGGGCTCCCCATGCTCTACCTTGGAGCAGCAGGCCCCGGGCCCCGTCCTTCAGCTCCTCATGAGACTCCTGTGTGACTCCGCTGAGCAATCCCTGGATTTGCCTTGATGTTATTGTTCTTAATTTCTTTTTTTTTTGCCTTTTTGGTTGAGACATGGTCTCGCTTTGTAGTTCAACCCCGCCCTGAACTCTCTATGTAAGCTATGCTGGGCTCAAACTGAAGGCAACCCTCCTTCCTCAGTCTCCCAAGTGCTGGGATGACAGGCGTGCACCACTATGCTGGGGTCCTCTCATTTTGCTAAACAACATCTTCAAGGAGTTCCTAGTGCACAGAAAGCAAAGCGTTCAATGCATCTTTATTTGACATACAGATTGGTACTTTGAGCCAGGATAGACGTCTCGGGTGGAACCAGAATGTGGTGTGGTGTGGCGTGTCTGTAATCATATATAATGTAATCAATCATAGCACTCAGGAGGCTGAGGCAGGAAGACTGCCCTTAACTCCAGGCCAGCCTGGACTACACAGTGAGAGCCTATCTCAAAATAAATAAAATAAATCAAGTAAGTAAGACTTCTTAGGAGACCTGCACATCTCAGGAGGAAAGATCTCTACACCCTAACACTGTGGGAACCCCAGTGACTCCCTTTTAGGTGACCCAGATGTGCTTAGTTTCCTCCCATCCACACAGGTGCTTTCGAGCAGCCTGCCTGCCTTGCTATTAAACCCGAACCAAAATCAAGGATCACTGTGGACTTGGGTAAAGACTGGCATCTGAAAGCGTCTAAAATAAACAAGAAAAAAGGAACTTTGAGAAGACAGTGATCCTTCAAGCAGCAAAAAGAAAAAAAAAACAAAAAAACTTCCCCTTCTAGTGAATATATTTAGAGATATGTAAAAGACATTTCCATTCATAAAACAAGAGCGTGGCTCTCACAAACACTTAGAGGGCACAGGACATGGAATCTGCGGGCAGGGCCACGCTCGGGGGTGGCAGGGCACTTACCCAGCCTGTGCAAGGCCCTGGCTTTGGGGCACAGCATGGGGCAGACAAGGAGACGAGAGGGAAAGGAAGTGGATGTAGGGCGAGAGTGGCCGGGCAGGGTGGTGCCTGGAGTTCCCGCTACTTGGGGGCTGAGGCAGGAGGATTGATGGAGCCCAGGGGTTTGGGAGCATAACGTACCATGCGAACTGGACGTGCACATTGAGTGTGGTGTCAGCACTGTGACCTCCCAGGAGCAGGAGACCAGTAGTCAACCCAGAGGGTGACCACACCCAGGCTGGCACCAAAAAAGTTCAAAACTCATGTGCTAGCCAGGTGCAGAGGCGCACACCTGTGATCTCAGTGTTCTGGGAGGCTGAGGCAGCCTGGCAACACACCGAGACCCCATTGCTTATTTTCTGTAGGGGTACTGAGTATCGAGCTTATGACCTTGATTTGCTATGCTTATGCTGCTGAGCTATATCCCTGCCCCTCCCCCCCATTTCTTTGTTTGTTTGTTTCTTTCTTTTTTTTTTTGTCTTTTTGAGACAGGGTCTCACTATGCAGTTCAGGCTGGCCTTGGGCTCATTTTGTAGCCCAGGCTGGTTTTGAACTTGAAACGATCCTCCTGCCTCAGCCTCCCGAGTGCTGGGATTACAGGTGTGTACCACTATGCCTGGCTCATTTCTTATTTTTTAAAAATGAAAAAACTAAAGAAATTTTCTTTCTTTTCCATTTATTTATTTAGAGACAGGGTCTTGCTGTGTTCTGCAGGTTGTTAGTCACTCTGTAGTCCAGGATGGCCTCAAACTCATGGGGGTCCTCCTGCCTCAGCCTCCCAATAGTTGGAATTATAGGCATGTGCCATGAAATTCCAAGCCTGGCTTTTTTTTTCTCTTTCTTTCTTTCTTTCTTTCTTTCTTTCTTTCTTTCTTTCTTTCTTTCTTTCTTTCTTTCTTTCTTTCAACAGATTTCTTTTATTTCTGCTGAATGGTTCCCTGGAATTTCTTGTTGAATCCTAAAATGCCAAGACAGTTGCACCGGGTAACTTGCTCTGCGCATCCGCACTATTAATTACAGATGAGTGACTAGTTGGGACTCTAACCCTTTTGGGGCGTCTGTCCCCACGCCTCCCTCAAGAAGAGGCCCCGCAGTCCTCCACTCAGCCTCTGCGCGGGGTACGGGGTGGGCGCGCCTGGGCAGGCTGTGGGAGCTTCGTGGTCCCGGGGAGCTCAGCGTCCTCGCAGCGCCGGAGAAGAAATGCAGCGGGAGGGGAGGCCGGGCTGTAGGAGCCAGTGGGGGCGCCAGCATCGCCCTCCGTTCCGTCCCGCGTGCCTTCCCCTGCCTGTGAGCACAGCCTCGCCCGCCCCTTCGCCCTGAGTGTCCTGTCCAGTCCTGACAGGCAAATCACACCGCGCCCTGGCGGCATGCGAGCTCCGCTCAGGCCCAAGGAACAATATGACAAAAGATATATACAAAAGTGAGATGAGTGTGTCTGAGTTGGCATTTATTTTTTTAATTCTCTCCCAATACTGGAGACTGAACACAGAGACTGGGCCAAATTGACATTCCCAACACTTTATTACATTTTTTATTTATAAATTCTATGTGGGGCCAGGATAGAGAAAGGTCCAGAGTTCAACTCCTGGTACCAAAGAAGATGAATTCTGTGTTCAATCATCTTGATGCCAGCACACATGATGCCAAGTCCTCACTGGAGGACTTGCTACATGGACATAGCACCTTAGTTATGTTCACCCCTGCTCCCCACCCCACAATGAACACCTCCTCAGCGAGGGGATGAGTTCCCCCAGGCACCTGAGCGACCTCCAGCTTGCTCCAGGGCCCAGGCCACACCACAGGGCTCCCAGGCCTCAGTCAGTAGCTGGGGTCCTTGGTGTCACGGGCAGCAGGAAGTTCTCCTGTGGACAGATTTCTCCCTGCACACACAGGCCCAGAGCTATTAGATGGGGTATCCATGCCTCATCCACTCTCTGCTTCTCACTGGGTGCCCACTGGACCTCAGCAGAGTCCAGCCCTGCCCACGGGTGCACTAAACTCCCACAGAAGGCAGAGAAGAACATGCATGAGAGCAGGAGAACAGCAGGCCGCTGCAGGGGCATCACAGTCCTCAGGCTGCCCACGCCAGGTCCCCCGACAGCGGCTCCCTGCCTCCAGCAACAGCCAAGTCTGCTGAGCTCATCCAAGGGCTGTGCACGAGCTGCAGCATCAGGAGGCCCTCGGGAAGGTCCCCAGGTTCTCCGCTGCCCAAACTTTTGCTCGCTGGCCCATACCACCACTGCCTCAGCTCCTTTTGAAAGGTTGGCACTGCCAGGTGTGGTGGCTCACGCCTTGAATCCCAACACTCTGGAGACCGAGGGGACAGGATTACTGAGTTGCATGGCAGCCTGGGCTACAGAGCAGATTCGGGGCGAGCACAACTGTCTCAGACAAACAGACCAATAGACACACATTTTGAGGGGAGTCCCCCTCAAAACGGCACATTGCCAGATTGCCTACCCTAGTTGTGAAGTTTCGATCTTCCTGCTTCAGCCTCCCACCAGTGTGACTGGGTGATGCAGCACCACAGAGGCGCCTTCTGCTGCCCCGGACTGACTGGGGTGGAGTGACAGGTGTAAAGCAGATGTGGGCTTTAATGTTGGCTGAGTGAGTCCTGAGTCTCTGCATCCCCACAGGAGTGATCTGCTGACCGTGGCAGAGCTCACCCAGCTCCGCCTTGTGGCAGGTCTTCAGGTACTTCAGGAACACATCTGTGATGAGTGGGCAGTGATCCAGCTGGGTCACCTCCTGCTGGGTGGCTCCTCAGGTGGCAGATGCTGTAGTCTGTGGTGAGCTTACAGTGGGACAGGCTCTGTATCTGAAGTCCAGGACGGTGTGTGGAAAGCTGGAGGAATGTGCCACCATTTATCTGAGCGCGTTCTCTCGCATCCATCTTTTCAAGCTGATGGCAATTCCCTGCCAAACTGATGAGTGAAACCCACACTTGTCACCTGACCTAGGGCATTCATTCAGGATGGCATCTGTGACATTGGAGTGCTCAGAGGGACTGCAGCCTTCAGCACCCTCTGCACGTAGCAGTGAGACCTTCACCTGCAACCGGTAAGCAAGTCTGTGAGTTTGGAGCCACCACTCAGGATAAGGTGCATCTATGTACTGAGACCTTCATCTTCTAGCCATGTGCAGCCTCTTAAGCATATGGCCTTGAGCCTCCAAAGCCTCTCACTAGTGCTTGAATGCCACACTTAGTCTCTCCAAGAATTGTTTGGTTGCTGGAGCCATGGACCCCCCTCACTCGGAGCTCTGAGAGAGAGAGGCATGTTTGTTATCCATGTACAGGAAGCCAAGTCAGATGCTTGAGTTTGGAATGGAACTTGCCAAGGCTAGGACACTTTGCATCTGTCTTCTGTGCACCCCCCATTTAGCTCCTGTACTTCAGGGTCTCTGCAGTTTTGTGCAAAGGTCCTTACTCGAAGACATCCATCAAGACTCACCTCTCCTAAAAACCCTCCGTTTGTTTTAGAGCAGTCTCCACTACCCGGCCCTCTGTAATGCTGTGGAGTTTTTGTTCCCTGATTAATAAGTAATTCACTGGATCTTGTGACACAGCAGTGTAATTGGTTGCGCCCAGCCCGTTAAGTCCAGATATGCATCAGACACCTGGGTGTGTGGACCAGAACATCCAGATCCGCCCTTCCCATAAATGTTCCTATTTTGGGATGCTAGATAAACCGAGGTTAAGGATGCCAGCCCTATGCATTGGTCAGGAGTCCTGCTTCCCCACTGGATCAACGGCAGCTAAGTAACTATACTTGTAATCTTATTGGTGAATTATATATTTTTAAAAATTTTTTATTTTTTTATCTGTACAAGGGGTCGAACTCATGACCGCCCCCTGGCGAGGCAGGCACTTAAGCCACTGAGCTAAATCCCCAGCCCCTTATTGGTGAATTATAACTGAACTCACATTGTGGCTTTGCTATATAAATTACTCCTGATAAAAGGCCTTGGGGGCAACCCATTGAGGACCCTCCTGTCTCTCAGGAGCCATTCCTACTCCCCAGGAAAGCTTTAATGCTCTTTTTTTTTAAACCAGGGATCTAATTCATGACTTTGTGCTTACCAGGCAAGGGTTTGAGCCACTGAACTAAATCCCCACCTCTAAACTTTGCTACTCTTAAACTCCTTTGTCCTTTGGGATTTATTCCTCGAATTGAGGGAACACAAACTTAGCACATCTAACAGCCAGCAAGATGGGAGCTGCATTTCTCCTGTATCAAAACGACCATGTGTACACCGTGGGCTGTCTAAGGGGAGTCAGGCGCTTTGCTTAGAAAAGCATTTCTCAATGGATCACCTGTGAGTGAGCATGTGGATTTTAAATATTGAGGCTTGAGTAAAAGTTTTTTATTTTAAAAATGATCATTTTCTATGCAGTTTTATTTATTTGCTTATTTTTGGGACCAGGAGTCAGACTCAGGACCTTGTGCTTGCAAGGCAGGCACTTGTGCCCTCAGCTCTGGCCGCACTGTGTAGTTTTATTGGAGACAGCTAAGTCAGGTACACATATTGTAGGCAGCCAGACAGGACTCGGACCTTGAGGGAGTCAGTGCAGAGGGTGACAGCACATTACAGCTGTGGCTGGAAGAGCATCTGTCGAAGGTCAGTCCTCCATATAAGACGGAACAACTAAGCCTTGTACTTCCCCAGAGGTAAGATAATTGGTGTCACCTGGTCCAACAGAGTTTAGGCATCAGTCACCCAGGTGGGAGACCACCTCCTCTTCACCCATCCCTTCCTAAAAAGGGCTTTATTCTCTCCATGTATACTTGTCACATGACCTGCTTTCCATTGGATCAGGGTTACCTGGGTGGCTGTACTTGTAATCTTATTGGTTGATCATAGTTTTGACCCACATTGTACTCACCTTGTGATTTTGCTCCATAAAACTTCCTTTGAGCCATTCACGGCCTGTGCTGGGAGAGAACAAGGACTCACCAAGAAGCAAGGCCCCTGTCCCACGAACCAGTGCCATGCACAGGCCCTTGCCAGTGTGGGGACAGCAGACCCAAGCCTTTCCCTGTGAGTCAGCACCATTTGTAGACTGTGAGGGAGAGAGAACAAGGACTCACCAGAAGCAAGCCCTCCCTGTGAACCAGTGCCATGCTGCCAGTGGGGGGACAGCAAGACCCCAGCGTCTCCTAGCCCGCAGGCTTTCAAACGAGAAGAACCAATCCTCCCCTACCCCGTAAGTGACCAGCTGATCCGGAAAAACACAGGCCGTGATGATAGCCATTGAGGTGAAATGCAGTTTGATGCTTGTGGTGTTTGGTGCTTCACTGACCTTGCAGGTCTAGGGCCAGTGGTCAGATCATCTGTTCAGAGAATAGCGGTATGCAGTGTGGCATCTGGGGGAATCTCCTTCTGAGGATGGTGGCCATTGTTAATGCCCTTTTGTCTTGTTTTAAAATCTGTATCAATTTCTTTTGGGTTGGGTTTTGTTCTATTATGTTTTGTGTGATTTTGTTATATCAAGTAGTATGAGAGGCTATTTCAAAGATATCAAGATACATTATGATAGCCATTTTAGATTTACCATTGTCTTGTTTTGAAGTCCTTTATTGTGTTCATTGTTTTTGTTTTTATTGGCTCTATTCTATTCTGTTCTGTTTGATTTTTACTTACTATGTCTGAAGGTATCTGCAGCTCTTTTGAAGACAATAAGAGGCATTATGGTAAACATTTCCTATTTTTTTGAAGTTCTATATCACTTACATTGGTTTGTTTTGATTGGTTTTATTTTCCTTGGTTTTATCTTCTTTAAAATAGAAACAACCTTCTTTGGGGAGTGGGATCATTCGCCAGCCACTTTTGGGCCCCCTCCTTTCCCTTAGGAGCTCACTCTATTTCTCTCAATTTTCCTCTTCTTTTTTTTTTTTTTTTTTGTCTTTTTTTATTTTTATCGGTACCGGGGATCAAACTCACGACCCCCTGCTTTCAAGGCAGGTGCTTATGCCGCTGAGCTAAATCCCCTGCCCCAATTTTCCTATTCTTAACCTGTGTTGCTTCTTAGAATTCGTTCGTTGATTTTGGGGAGCAGGAACTTGGCACATCTGACATCTGACAGGTTGAGAATTCTGTTATTTCCCTTGTATCAGTTTTAAGGCAGTGGACTAGTGCTACATGAGTATTAGTTCCTTAAAAAGGTGTCAGTCTGGGTGCTTTGTAATCCCAGCACTCTGAGGCAGGAGGATCACTGAATTTCAGGCCAGCCTGAGATACATGGTGAGTTCAAGGCCAGCCTGAACTACACAGTGAGACCCAGTCTCAAAAAAACCTAAAAGAGGCAGAGCACCCTGTGGACTCAGCAGAGTGTGGGCACCATCGCGGTGGTGTAGTCTGGCGACTCCTGTAGTCTGGCACTTTCAGCAGCGTGCCCCTGGGCTCTGAGCTGCCACCACCATGTTCCATCATATCAGATGTATGGCCTCATTAAACCTCATTAGTTCGGCAGTGGCATTTTTGATAAACATTGAGTTCTCTGATGGAAGAATTCTCTTGGAGCATGAAACCAAAAAGCAGATGTCTCTACTTGATGACCTGGGCATGGAAACTGGTGATACCTGCACAAGGTGACTCAGTTGCAGGTGAAGAAGACAGCCTCCTCCGGCCATTAAAGCTCAAGACTGATCATACTTGTGGGGCCAAAGCAAGGCCAGCCCTGCAAACACAGTGAGCCCAAAACGAGCCACATAAACAAGCTGTTCCAGCTCCAAGGAGGCACAGGGCCCAGGCCAGCCAGGCAAACAAGTTGCGAGGCAGCAGGGTTAAACCCGACATCCTCACTCTGAGTTATCAATAAACATGCTGCCGTGGTCGAGCACTTCCTTTTCTCCCATCAGGAGAAAGGGCTGCACTTGACCCCAGCTTTGGTCTCTTCCTTATTTTCTCATCCTCTCCTGCTCCTTCACTACAGAAACCTCTGGAGCTGCAGCTGGTTGCTACAGTATATGAGGAACAGGATCGGTTAAGATCTCCAGCTGGGCCCAGCAACTGCTTCCTTGCTGACCCGGGTGGCACCGTAGCACATGAAATCATGCAGAAGTATGGCTTCCCGGAAGGCGAGGGTCTAGGGAAGCATGACAGGGACTGAGCACTGCGTTGTCAGTTCAGAAGACCGGCAACAGGATGGCAAGATCATGGTGGGTGATGCCACTGAGAAGGGTGAGACTCAAGATGCATCAAAGAAGTCAGATTCCAATCCACTAACTGAAATACTGAAGTGTCCCTCTGAAGTGGTCCTACTGAGGAACATGGGTGGTGCAGGAGACGTCTATGAAGACTTGGAAACTGAAACCAAGGAGGAATGTGGAAAATATGGCAAAGTGAGCAAATGTGTGAATTTGACATTCCTAGTGCCCCTGATGATGAAGCAGTATGAATATTTTTAGAATTTGAGAGCCAAATCAGCAATTAAAGGATTGGTTAAATAGCCTCCAAATAGACATCAGAATACATCCGTTTGATGAATTTCTACTCTCAATTATTCTGAAATCAAATGTGTGTTTTTCCACATCAACAAGCGGTTTTGGAACTCTCCAGATGCCAGACGGGCATCCTACAGTCCAATCACTTGTGATGCTACCGAGAGTGCCTGGCAGACACCATAGGTTCAAAGGCTTGGTGCCACAATACCTGAGACAGGCCTGCATACCCAGTGTACCCACACTCATCTCTGCCTTGGCCACTGTATCAGTCAGGGTGTACTAGAGAAAAAGATACAGCTCAGGATATATTGGCTTACCATAGTCAGCTTCAAAGTCAGATGAGATACCTGCAGAGGGTGTCTGCATGCAGGAGCCTGAAGGGTCCAACCCCAGGGCTGGAGCTCATGCAGTGTCCCGTGGAAGTCTGCATCAGGAGGCTGATGGGTCTGCGATGGAACACTGAAGAGTCTATGAAAGAAGGTTGGAGAGTCCCAAGGGGGAGCTGAGCAGTCTGTGCCACAAGCCAGGAGACATCCAAGCTGAAGGCCAATGCCAAGCTCCTCTGAAGGACCAGCAATCAGGCCCCTCCTCATTTGCCTTTTATTGTAAGCAGGCTGCTCCCCTCCTCCCCTCGGGTGGGGGTGGGAGTAGCCCTCACACCATTTGTGCCCCTCCTCTGGCAAAGGCTGAGAGTGTTATACTAAGGCCCCCTGCTGGGTCACTTGGTTAAAAGTGGGGTGTGGCGGCTCACACCTGTAATCCCAGCACTCAGGAGGCTGAGGCTGGAGGATCCTTGGGAGTTCGAGATCAGCCTGGGCTATAAAGTGAGCTCAAGGCCAGAACTGCATAGTGAGACCCAGTCTCAAAAACACACACAAAAAGGGGGTCTTGCTATGCAGTTTTGGCTAGCCTTGAGCTCACTTTGTAGCCCAGCCTGGTCTCGAACTGGCAGTGATCCTTCCCCCTCAGCCTCCTGAGTGCTGGGATTATAGGTGTGAGCCACCACGCCTGGCTCACTTGGTTAAACTTCTGAGCTTCTCAGATTGACACAGTGAACAATATTCTAGAATGGTAATGCTTGTCCTCTATAACCCCTCTCCGCCTTGTACAGCTGCTGAGTTACTTAGTTAAGTTTCTAGACTTCCCAAATTGATACAGTGTATAAACCCTAACAACTACAAAGCCGGAGGTTCCCACATGCAGCTTGTTTCATGTTCAGTAACATGGTGGAGCAGCTCACAAAACTGAAGGAGCTTACTGTTATGTCTGTTTATTATAAAGGATATAACTCAGGAATTGACCCGAGGGAAAGATGCATAGGGTGAAGTAAGTGGAGGTGGAGATGGGCAAATACTTACCAACACAGAAGCTCTCTAAATTCCCTCTCTATGGTGTACAGGGCCGCTTCATTACATAGCTATGAGCACTGGTGAATAACTTAACTCTAACCACTCTCTCTTGGAAGGTCAGTGCTTTGGGCTTGAAATTCCAAAGCTCTAATCATTCCTTGGTCTCTTTGGTCTTTGATCACAGCCTCTCATTCTTACGTCCTCCCTCTCCACCCCATCTCATTGGCAAGGAAATGACATTCTTATTGCTCTGGAGATTCCAAGGAGTTCAGAGCTCTGGGCCGGGAACTGGGATCAAAATCCAAAGGGAATATAAACTTTTTATGGTCTCACAGTCACGCATCCCTGTAAACACATGAGTCCCTGAGGATAAAGGTTCAAACTTGAAGGACTAAGAGTCTACCACAGAGAACCTGTGCCTGGGCTTTACTGTGACCTCACCTTTGGGAAGTGTGAAATGGTACTCTCTTTATCTGGACCTGCTGCTCTTAGATAAAAGTTGGCTCCCAGGGCAGTTAAAGGCCAGGGAGCTAAGTTCACATCTGCTTGACAAGGAAATTAAGGCAGAGAAAAATATAGGCGAAGTTGACTCTCCATCTGCCCAATGAGTCCCACTCCTGGGTCCTCTGGCCCAGGCTGATGCCCACGTGCCCAGTGGTGGTGGTTGGAGAGTGCATGACTCAACCTGTACACTGTGCCCACTACACAGCGGCGGTTCCCAGTATCCATGTTCCCAAGCCAAGTGACAAGATGTGCTCTGAGGCCACAGTCACTTCTTTCTCCCTGGTGTCAGCTCCCTTCAGTATGCAAGACTAAGAAATGATTCTGATTAAAAGAAGAGATGACACAGGAAGAGACATGAAGAGAAGAGAAAGCAAAAGTCCACCACGCCTTTTCACAGCAAAAGAAAAGAAAAAAGAAAGAAAGCAAGGAAACGTATGTGAGGTCAATAAAAGAAAGCATCAGCATTTGTTTCCTCAGGGGGGGTCTCTGCAGTTTTGTACTTCCTGATGCTAGCAGGAGTCCCATCTGTGGGGCTGGCAGTTTCTGTTTTGCTTCGTTGTCTGGTGGGCAGCCAGACAGTAATCAGCAGCGCTGGGCACCACCACCCACCTGCAGGAACCAGCAGCTTCTAGGAAAGGAAAGAAGCAGGAGTGGTAACTCCCTGCCTGCTGCAGGCCAGTGGCTGGAGGTCAGAAGTCCACACTAAACCTGGTGGGGGCTGCACAGCCCTGGTAATCCTAGCTCTTGGGAGGCAGAGGCAGGAGGGTTATCTTGAGTTCAAATCTAGCTACAGTGTCAGCACACAAGCCCAGCTTATTTGAGTATTTTCTTTCTTTTCCTGGAACACAATAAGCCTCGGTGCTTCCCTTCCTCCTGGAAATGAGTCCCCGCAATCTCTTTCGGATTGAAAACAGTCCACCCTCTCCTATGAACAGACTGCTTATCCCGTTAGACCACCTTTGAAGCCATCCAGATGATGTTGTGTTACCGGGTTTTGGGGTGCAGGGGTCTCCTTCTGGAGATGATTTCTAGGTTCCAAAAGTGCTGAGTAAAAGACTTGGTCAAGAAAACCACAAACCAGCAAAGTTTTATTAGAGATAGGAAAAGAAACAGGCTCTGCACAATGAGTTTGTGCCAAATAAAAGCAGGAAAAGAAGAACACGCTACTGCGTGCGGGTGGGCCACCATGCAGGAGAACACAGCGCAAGACCTGGACCTGGACTGTCCTTCGGGTGGCGCCCATCTTCAGAATGAGGTCAGAACTCCACTCTCATGTAGAAAACCTGCAACCTGCTGGAGTTCTCCGAGATGTCCACAGTGCAGGCCTTGGGATCTGCTCTGTGCACGTGCTGGGATCTTGTCCCGACTCCTTTTCCAGACACTTTTGGCAGAGCTGGCTTTTCTGCTATAGAGGATCAAATGCCGCAGATTTCCACTGCCAAAAACGTATCAAAACTTCCAGCTGTGCCTGTCCTGTCGGGGCTCCCAGCTGTGAACTACAGCTGGTCTCCTTTCTCTCATTATCCACATTTCTCTCCTCAGTGAGCCCTAAATCTCCGCTTAGTAAGTCCCTTGCTTAACTGACATTTCCCGATGGAGTCAGTGAACCTAGGACTACTCCAAAAGGGTGGGTTAAAGTCCTCAATTCAGCACATGGCAGGACTTGGGGGACCACAGTAAGAAATAATATGCGTGCCTGGTCTAACACACAGGAGGCATCCCTGAAGTAGTAGCTGTCGTACATAGTCTAGGACATTTGCCCTCTGCTCCTTTTTGTTACTCACCCTGTGCTGATGTCCTCCAATGCAAATTCCAAGGAACCTGCTCCAAATGCTTTGGCCTTGCCATTCACAAATCCTGCACCCAGGCGAGAGGGGGGAAACAGCACTTAGAAAAAAAAAAAGTAAAAGATACGTTAACAATTTTGAGGGGAAAAAAGTTTAGTTTCCCAAGTTGTATGTAAGAGACAGTGAACATTTGTTCAACTTTAGTGACCCCAAAATCCCAGAAAAATAGAAATGTTCTAAACCAGGCTTGGTGTTGCCGGCCAGCAACCGAGGACTTCAGGGAGACTAAGACTGGAGGAAAGCAGTGGCCACAGGAAAACATTGCCTGCAGGGTCAGGGAGTCCTGGGTCTGCAGAGCTGAGCGCCACGCCCTGCCCCGCCCCGCCCCACCTGGCCTCACCCAGGGGAGCTCAGGGCTGTGCGGGTCACAGTCCTGGTCCCCAGCACCTGCAGGTTGTGCAGGTGACCCAGGAGAGGGCCCTTGTGGCCCTGCCCCACGTGACTTCATGAAAGGCTGGCTCTGCCCCGCCTGCTGGGTTTCCTATGGGCTGCTCGGGCTAGGGTCAGTCGCTAGTCTCTCACTCTCAGCAGCTGCTGTTTATATCCTGTCGGGGCTCCGCGAGTGCCATGGCCGAACTGTGCCCGCTGTCCGAGGAGCTGTCGTGCTGCATCTGCCAGGAGCTCTTCAAGGACCCGGTTACCATCCCATGCGGCCACAGCTTCTGCATGTCGTGCCTGGACAGGACCTGGGTCTTCCAGGGCGAGCCCTACTGGTGTCCCCAGTGCCGCACCTCCTATACTGCGCGCCCGCTGCTGCACAAGAGCACGGTGCTGTGCGCTGTGGTGGAGCAGTTAGTGCAGACCAGTCAGGTGCAGGCCGAACAGGAGCAGGCACAGGCGACGGCCTGTGACAGGAAGCCAGCTGGCTGCTCCGAGGACAAGGACTGGCTGCCCTGCAATCAGTGCCCCAGGGAGCAGGCTGTGATGACCTGCCTGGAGTGCAGGGCCTCCTTCTGCCTGGTGCACCTGCAGCCGCACCTCAGCGACCCGGCCTTCCGGGACCACCCTCTGCAGACCCATATCCCTGATCTGCAGCTCCACAAATGCCCCCAGCACTACCGTCTGCAGGAGTTCTTTTGCCCTGAGCACAGCAAGTGCATTTGCCAGAGCTGCCTGGTGGAACACAAGGTCTGCTCACCCATAACCCTGAGCCAGGCCAGCACTGACCTGGAGGTAAGCTGGGGTGGGGAGGTGGCCATGGGCCCGGGACCCTGGGTCAACATGCGATCCTCTAGGGGAAAGGCTCTGCTGATGGGCTCACTGCATGAGATCTGCCTCTTTCCAGGCCACCTGTGGCCGCTGAGCTGGGCTGGGGGACACCATGCGGAAGGGAGGGGCATCCCAGTGAGAGAGCAGAAAGGAGCTGGGAGATTATGCAGCCTTCTCCTCTCCACCTCATCCATTGCCTGCTCTCCACGTGCCCCTTTGGCAGGGCCCAGGTAAAGCTGCCTGCCAAAGCCTGTGTTTGTCTGATGGTGTTTAGGCTTCCGTGCCCCCTTAAATCCTGGTGCCACTCAGGAGGTTCCTATTAGTTCCATTTCATAGTTCAGGGCTCCTGAGGTTCAGAGAGACTAATGTAGCAGAGCTAATGCAGTAAATGGCCAAGGGGACCCTGGGGCCCAGACACTGCATTTTCCCCCCACAGAGCTGACTCCTAACCAGAGTCTAGAACGTGGGACATTCTTGGGCAAAAGGCTTTGTGAAGCTGAAGAGTTGTGGTGGCCAGGGAGGGCAGGCAGAGCCCAGGAATACCCAGATGGGAACCAAGGAGGGCTGGGCTCTTGCACCATAGTGCCCTCAGCCTGGTGTGTGCCTTTGAGCATGGGATTCATCCCTGGGGACCTGGGTAGAGGGATGATGGGGGCTAGCTGGAGTCCTAAGGGTCCAGAAGGTCTGGGGATGCTTGTGGTGTTGGGGCATGTACTTTCCCCGTGGGTTCAAAGCGGAGGCTGGAGAGGTGTAGCCAGCCCCAAAGCCAGCATAGCAGGAAGAGCAAAGTCTGGTCTGGGTGTTGTCACCGCAGACTTAAGCCCGGCTGAGGTCACAGTGGGGGAGGGTGGCTCCAGGACCAGGGTGCAGGCCTTGCTCCCTCTGCCTTGGCCCTGTCCAACCCTTCCTAGCTCTCTGGGGCTGAGCTGGGCTCCTTGGGAGCTTTTCTTCTGGGTGTCAGCAGCTAGACTTCAGGGCAAGGCCTTTGAGCTCTGTGGTCACCGCAACTTGGGCACACACGGTGTGATCCAAAAAGGTGGTGAGTGGATGAATGTGCAAACATTTTATTATGGCAAAAGACACGCTGCTGTTAATCCTCCTCAGAACACCCCCCCACGCACACGCACACACACATGCACACACACACACACACACATACACACTTGTCCCATCACCCTTGCCACTTTCTGGAGCAGTTCTGGAAGTCCTCCTTCACCAGTGTCTTAGTGAGTGTTATCAGAATACAGTGGGTGCTGCTGCTGAGTGCCATCCAACAGAAAGGCAGACTTGGAAAACATGACAGCAGTGTATCCGCATCCAGCTTATTTGCCGGATCTGACACTGTGCGACTTCTGGCTCTTCCCCAAAGTCAAAAGAACCGTGAAAGGTAAACACTGTGAACAGATTCAGGACTCAAGGCAGCCAGGACTGCGCACCTGGAGACAGTCATGAAAGAGGACTCAGAACTGCTTCAGAAAGTGGCAAGAATGTGGGGAGACGTGTGTGCAAGGGGAAGGGGTGTATTTTGGGGGATTAATACCAATATGCCTTTTACTGCCCTGATTATCTCTGGCAGAGTGGAGCATTCACTGTATGTTTGCTGCCTGTTCCAGGAGAGAACCCGCCCAGCCTTTGGGACCTGCAGCCCTGCTTTGCCCCATAGAGCAAAGGGCTTTTGATTGAGTCCCTGCAGTCTCAGCCTGCATTTTCTTATTTGGGACCCCACCTCTAGAGGGGGAGATTAGGGGCTCTGGGGAAGCACCTCAAGGGCAGGATCCAGGGTTTACCAGGACTTCAGCCTGAGGGGCCCTGAATCATTTTTGGTCCTGGGAATGGAACTCAGGACCTGGCACTGGCCAGGCAGGTGTTTATGCAGCTGAACTATATCATTGGACCAGGGGCCTGCATCTTAAGTTGGCTCCCAAGCTGATAAAAAGGCAACACCTTGGGTGTGTGGGGACATTTCTTTAATTCCTTTGGGAGGCTGAGGCAGACTGACTGCAAGTTGAAGCCCAGAGGCAGAAATTTAGCCACTTAGTGAGACCCTGTCTCAAAATAAAAAATTAGAAAGGGCTGGGATGCAGCTCAGTGACAGGGAAAGGAACCTGGGCTCCTGGAGGGACACTCAGGTTCTTCCTCTTGGGCTTCAGTCCCCTTGGGGCTGAGAGGCCTGCATGGCCCTGAAGGACCTCTGTTCCTTGCAGCCTCTGCAGCAGCTCTGGGTGTCACCATTCCTGATTCCTAATCATTGTATCAGGGTTCCCCCTGTTGGGCTGGAGGGGAGAGGCAGCATCACAGAAGTCCATTCAGAAACCTCGGCAGTGACTTGGGCTTTCCTGATCAAGGACCTGTGGCCCTGGGCTCTGCGTTCCGCTCTGACACGTGACTCAGTGGCTTCTTCAACTCCAGATTCAAGGTCAGGGTCGGCCCTGATTGTCTCTGGCACGGGGGGAAAGGAGAGAAGTGGAAGGGAAGGTCAGAACTCGTTAACCAGCTACTTAGAGAGAGGCAATGTCTTTGTTTCTTTTTCTTTTTTCCTTAGAAGTTTCCAGCATGTTCAGTTTGGTCACATGGCTATAATTTTACTTTTTGAAATGGGATCTCATTACAAGCTGGCCTTGAACCACTGTGTACCAGACTGGCCTAAACCCATGCAATCCTCCTGCCTCAGCCTGCCTAGTGCTGGGATTACAGGATTAATACTAGAACCTTAGCTGTGCCAGGAAACAGCACCATGGTCTTGCACAAGGCACCTAGCTGCTCTGTGCTGTGGTGTTCTTTTCTGTAAAGGTTGGAAGATTTCATCCCCACAGTGTTGCTCTTAGCTTGCTTTAAATAAATTAGTATGTACAGGGCACTAGGCCTGTGCCTGGCACACAATAAAAACTACTCGCTGCCCTTCTCATTTCTCTGCCCCAGCACAGAGCACGGAGTGTGGATGTTGGAGCTTCAGATACTGCTAAGACTCTGTGTGTGTGTGTGTGTGTGCGCGTGTGTGTTGCTGGGGACTGAATGCAGGATCTGAGTGACATCCCCGGCCCTTTATCCCTTTATTATACTTATTTTTAAATGCTGAGACAGGGTGTCACTAAGTTGCCAGGTTGCTTGAACCTCTCTTGTGCCTCAGCTTCCCAGAGTGCTTGGCTTATGTCTCCTGGCTGGACGTGACATCTTTGAGAAATAATCCGAGGATGATGTTAAATTCCTGCCTCATTTCCCTCTGGAGTGTCTAGGAGCCAAACTAGCCTGAACCACCTTAGCTGGGGGACTGACTAGATTTGCAGCTGGGCTTCACCCCTGTGGCCTGGCTCATCCTACCTCCAGGCCTTGCGGGTCCCAGCCTGGGGTGGCCGGATGAGTCCAGGGCCCTGATTTCTGCTCCCTGCCCTCCTGAGGCTGATGAAGGGAGTCCTAGCTTCCTCTGGATTGGCAGGGCCCCTGGAGAAGCATCCCAGATTCAGGCGTATCCAAGGGGGTCCCCTTCTCCTGCGTCTTTTTCATTTTGGGCTTCTGGCTGGTGCCCTGCTGTGTAGCAGGAGGGTTGTCCCCGTGGCCGAATGTGCCATCGTGGAAGCAGCCATCCTGGTGTGGGCAGACACGTCACTGTCGGCTGCTCCTTGATTTCAGCAGCTGTCACAGGAGGCGTGGTGAGCACAGTCACCAGCACACCAGCTGTCAATAACTGTGGTCCAGAGCATGGACACCTGTGCTGTTGACTTAGCCTCAGGAGCACCAGAGAGAAAGATTCAAGGGTGGTCTGGATGAGGCTGGGCCAGCCCAGCAGGGGCATCTCACTACTGTTTGCCTCCTCACAGAACAAGCTGAGGCAGAAGCTCAGCATCATGGACAGTGAAATCAGCAGGGCATGCCTTGCACTGGAGGACATGCAAGCCAGGAAGCAAAGAGTGCAGGTGAGCACCACCCCTGCCCCACAGCTCCTCAACCTCCCAGCCAGACAGACAAAGCTGGACCTGGAGGGAGCTGAGGCGCTCCAAGCTTCAGCACTGAAGGGGATCCTGCCAAAGCATGCGGAACGCCCTGTGTCTAAGAAAGATGCATTGCGGACCAAACTGAAAGCCGCCTGGAAACCCAACCTTGCTAGGCATGGTGGTGTACTTGGGAAGCTGAGGTGGGAAGATCGCCATGAGTTCAAAACCAGCCTGGGCCATGTAGCAAGACCCTGGCTCAAAAACACCCAAAACAACAGTAATGTAGAAAGATGGTTATAGTTATGAGGGAGGCGGAATTAGGAGGCCAAAGTTCATGCTCACTAGGGTTGCATCTGTCTATGCAAAGGACACACAGTTTGTCGATGTCCGCTCCCGGCCGGCAGGAAGGACACACGACAAAGTCTGGTAGTGGACAACCTTTTCTTTTTATTTTCCTTCTCCGTACAGCCTGCCCTGGGTTCTCCCAGCTGAAGCCTCCTCTGGTCCGCTCCCCGCGGCTCCTTTTGTGCTTCAGTCTGCCCCAAAGCCTCTACCGGTCCGCTCTCCGCGGCTCCTTTTGGGCTTTTACTTCTGGGCTTCTACCTGGCTTCTTCTTCCGCCCAGGGGTGGCACCGGTATATATACGGGTACAGTGTCCAATCATGTTAAAGTAAGCAAGGCAAGCTGATTGGCTAACATCATCAGTTGCCAGGCAGACTATATTGTTGAGCGGGTTGTTTACGCGGTAAGCAGGAAACTAACATATTCGATGGGAGGGGTAATCTACCTCAGGCTTTGCTCTTTACCACAGGCCGCACGTCCGCCGCGCAAGGCGAGCTATCACAGACGCGGCTCCCAACAACAGTTGTTTCCCAAAGCTGCTGTGAGAAGTTATCACACACTGTGTAGCTTCTAAGAACAGATTTAGATTCTGTCACAGTTCTGGAGGCCGGAAGTCCCCAGCCAAGGTGTTGTAGGGCCACCCTCCCTCTGCCCAGCTCTTCCAGCTTCTGGGCCTTGGACGCTCCTTGGCCCGCAGCTGCCTTGTGCCAGTCCCTGTCTCCATCTCTGCGTGGTCACCTCCTCTCCTGCACCTCTTCTTCTGTCCTTGGATTGAGGGCCCACCTGGATAATCAGGATGGCCTCACTTGAAGATCCTTCATTTAGTTAGCTCTACAAAGGCCCTTATTCTTGCTGATCACCTATAATCCCAGCACTTTGGAAGCTGAGGCAGGGGCATCATCATGAGTTCAAGACCAGCCTGGACTATATAGTGTGTTCAAGGTCAGCCTGGACGACATAGTGAGACCTTGTCTCAAAAACAAAACCAAAGCAAACAACCAAAAGACTCTTGTTCTCGCTGAGGTTAAGATCACAGACTCTGGATTGTGGACTTGTCTTTGAGAGGTCAGCATTAACCATTCCAGAAAGTGTAGGGAAACACTGGGCAGAAGTCTTCTCGGGTAAGGGTGGAAATGGTTTTCTGGATTTGTTTTTGTTTCCCCTTTGTTTCTCTCTCTCTCTCTCTCTCTCTCTCTCTCTCTGTCTGTCTTTTGAGACCGGGTCTTGCTATGCAGTGCTCAGTCTGGCCTTGATCTCACAGTGGTCTTCCTGATTCAGCCTCTTGAGTTCTGGGATTATACGTGTGCACCACCTTGCTTGGCTTCAAAATTTTTTATGATACTAAATTCTCTTCAATTGAAAGAAGCTTGGATTTTTTTTTTTAACATGCTGAGCCGTGGTGTCTCAGCTGTGGTTTACTCAGGGATGCCCGCTGGGTAAGGCTCTAGTGCTGTGGTCAGCTGGTCAGGTCCGGAGCCTTTGTTTTTCCCTCCGCACAATGGAATCTCACCTCCTTTCTGAAGGAGATCTTGAGGCTGAGTGAGGGGGAGGGATGAACATGTAATTGGTTAAACTGCTGCAAGGATAAGTGCCCCCCAACTCAGAGACTGCAACCAGATAGAAGATGACTGTGCTCACGGAGACAGCACAGCCCCCACAGGAGTCACTCAGCCTGGTGGGGTGGCTGTGTTCCTCGTGATCATTCAGGGACCCAGCCCCCTTCCTTCTTGTCATGCTCCTGCTCCATGTCGCATTATCTGTCGCTTTTTGTTTGAAGCTGGGTGTTTTCTAGCTTCACCACAAAGGGAAACGGGCCAGCGGATCAAGCAAGCGGCAGATCCATCAGGGTTGTACAATGTGCGAGGTGTCAGGACCTTGGCACAGAGGAGGGTCCTGCGGCCTCGGCCCACTGGCATGCGCCTGCCTTTTTTGATACCTGTTAGTGTGTCCGGGCTTCAGTGGCCCACATAACACACTCGCTGGCCGGCTTCGTGACTCTTTCTCCTGTGGGGTTTGGGATGTGTGCCCGGGTGACCTGGAGGGTGGACCCTAAGTGATGACCAAGATGGCAGCAGTCGTGTCAGGCTGCGTTTCTTTGCTGGCTCAGTGTTACATCCTTGTTCTAGCTGTGAAAAGGGGGTGAGAAGGAAAACAATGATTTCCTACCTACCTTCCTGCTCCCATCTTCCCTTCCTTCTATCCTTTCCTCTCCTCTTCCTTCTCTTCCTCTTCTTTCTCCTTCTTCTTTTCCCCGTGGTGCTGGGGATGGGACCAGGACCTTCTCACTGAGCTACATCCCCAGCACTTTTAATTTCTTATCAATTTTAAAATTTTTATTTTTAAATAAGTTTATGTTTTTTAAAATTTTTCATTATTTTGAAGGTAGTAAAATACAACAGAACAAGATGGAACAAAGCCAATTTAGACAGTGTAAATGGTACAGAACTTCACAGCAGGTTACTAGCATAAGAGTAATAGGTTCTATAGTATATCGTGGTACTTTTATTTTAAATTTTTTTATTTAAAGAGAAACAAAACAAAACAGTAAAAGGATAAAAGTAATACAGAATTTAAAAAAATAAACAGTAAGGAATCACTAGTTAACAGATTACATATTGTCATCTTAGAAATAGTTGTTCAAGTTACAAAATTAAAGCATACAAAGCGGACATTCAAACAGTGAGACTGCAAACAGTTGTGTTTACAACAAAAACTTAGTAATATGGTTTTTCTATCTTACACACTTAAACATACATGCAGTTGTATCCTTTAGAGCACTTTTTTTTCCTCTCTTTTTTAAAATTACAATTATATATTTTGGGTTTTATTACTCCCACAGTTCTTATTACTATTTTTTAAGAGAATAAAACCAAATGTGACAAAACAAAATGGAGTCAGTCAAAACAAAAGGATGGACATAGTACATGATGTGAAAACAGAATACCAGGTGATCGACAATGGTTACCATAGTGCCTCTTGCTGTCTTAAAAAGAGTTGCCTATATCATCAGGTATAATAAAATTGAACAAAACATACAGAACAAAACCAATAAAACCTAAACATTGGAGACATTACAGGACTTCAAAAGAAGATAATAGTCAAACCAGAATGGGCATCATAGTGAACCTTATTGCCTTCAAAGTAGTTGCCTATACCCTCAAACTTGATACTATCATACAAAACAGAATAGAGTAAAAGGAGTCAATACAAGATGGTGAGAGCAACACAGGGGTTCAAATCAGGGTAATAGGAAAACAAAAAAGTTACTATAATATATCCTGCTATTTTTAAATTTATTTTTCCCTTAATTAAAAAAATAATAAAAAATAATTTGAAAACGAGGGGAGATTGACATAAAAGAGGACATAGCAACACAGGTCAGAACAGAACAATTTAATCAACATAGTGTTTCACCACCAGATAACCTGACATAATAGTAGTTACCATGGTGTCTCTTTCCTTGAAATATTTGAGTATAACTTCATATACTATAGCATCAAATGTATCAAGACAGTGAGAAACCATTCAAAAGAATGAAAGTATTACAGGGTATTTAGAACCAGCTAAAAGAAAACAAACAATGGTTTCTATATTATTTCTTTGCCTATAAAAAATTTTGTTTATACTATCACATATAATAAAATCCAATAAGATACAACATGATAAAACCGATGGAGACAGAAGAACAATAGTTTGATGGGACTTCAAAACAAGAAGATATTAAATCAGCACTAGCTATTATGATGTCTTGTTTTCTTCAAAATAGCTGTTCATACTATCACAGACAATAAAATCAAACAACCCAAAATAAAACCATTCCAATTAATGAGTGAAAACATTATAAGGCTTCAAAGCAATATAATGGGGAATCATGATTACCACATACTTTTATGTATTCTTATCATTTCTTACACTATGGAAACAATTCAGTATTTATACAGGTGAGTTTGATTTATTTCACTTATGAGTATGGTCTCAAGCTGTGCCCATTTATGTATAAATATCTCAATGTGATCCTTCTTTATAGCTGAGTAGTACTCCATTATATAAAAATAGCACAACTTTTTTATCCATTCCTCAGTTGATGGACACTTAGGTTGCTTCCAACTGGCTATTACAAATTGTGCTGCTATAAACATGGGTGCCCATATATCACTGTGGTATGATGCTTTCAATTCTGAGACTATGCCTAGAAGTGGAATAGCTGGAACAAATGGGACTTCCAATCCCAAATTTTTGAGAAATCTCCAGACTGATCTCTACAATGGTTGCACCAGTCTACATTCCCACCAACAGTGCAGGAGAGTTCCTTTTTCCCCACAGCCTCTCCAGAATTTGTTGGTGGTTTTCTTGATCCTGGCCATTCTTTCAGGAGTGAGATGAACTCTCAGTGTGGTTTTAATTTGCATTTCTCTAATGAGTAATGATGATGAACATTTTTTCATGTATTTATTTGCCATTTGTATTTCTTTATCTGAGAATTGTGTATTCATCTCAGATGTCCACTTTTGGATTGGATCTTTGAATTTTGGGGGTCTGATTTTTTAAATTCTTTATATGTTTTCGACAGAAATCCTTTGTCTGAGGGACAGTTCACTAAGATTTTTTCCCAGTTTGTGGGTTTTCTTTTCACTATGCTG